ATGTATATTTACAAATGATTAAACCTTTTTTTTTATTCAATACACAAACTACCAAACTTGTACAAGAAGCAAAAACAAAAGACTTTCCCTATCAAGTACAATATTAATTTAAGTAGTTGAAACTTCAAAGCCATTTCCCCCCTACAAATACAAAAAGCAGAAAATAATTTCAAATAATTAAGGTGTTTTTAGTTGCAGAAAGAGAAGGACCATGGTAAGTGGTAAGCTGTGAGTCAACAGTGACCCAACAACACAAGACATCCTCTCAACATATTTGTCATGAGATTTGGTTTCTTTCTCTGTGAAATACTTTTCATTTCTTTTTTATTTTTTTTGAAGATACATTGTAGCGATATTTTAAATTAATTATATATTATATTTTAATTTTTTTCATACGTAACACATGATTAATTAATTAAAAATTACTACACGGTGTCATTATGTTGTATGAATTTTTTTCTCCTTCATCTCTGGTTGCAGCTCCGGCTCCGGCTCCGGCTTCGATTTTCATCAACCACCCTGGCGCTTTTGGCGTTGACCAAATTCTTTTTACAACACAACCCTCACACTTTAACAAAATTATACGCTTCCGACTTAGCCAAACCCAAACATACTAATTTGGGGAAAACTCCAACTCCCTTGTCAGTAGCCAACCATATTATTGTTTTTGTTATTTTCAACGAGAAATTATGATCGTGTTGGTGCCATGTTGTAAAACTTATCATTATTAAACGCATAGATTTAAAATATCATTCAACTACTTCCTTTTGGTTATTTAAATAAGGGCCAATTTGGTATTGTAATACTTTTAAAAAAAAAAAACTGTTTCTACTGTGTTGTGAGAATACGCTTATTTTTTATGTTTCACGTTTTTTGTTTTTTTTTTTTTCACCCAAAACTATGAAAATAAGCTGTTTTTAAGTGTTTACTAAACACCTTTTTGAGCTCAGCTTTTTTTGATACCCACTTTTTATAAAAGCACCTCAGTACTAAGTGTGCTTTACCATTGGGTGTTACTCGTGAGGGAGGAGAAAGACCTAGTTAGAGCCAATGAGGGCTGGCTCAGTTGGTAAGGTTTTTGTATGTGTCGCCCCATCAAAGTTTGATTGTTACTAACAGCAATTGATGTTGGTGTGCGATCTATAAACTTTTACGTAAATCTATACCTGCGTCAGCTGGTAGTTTGGTGCAACGTGTAAGTCCTTCCGGCTTGAGATTGTGGGTATGTCTTGACGTTGGTGAATATAGTAACCAATCTTCTCCTCCCAAACTTTTTACAACCCACAAAAAGACTTCATTAGATGTCATTCACAATAATAGTATCTCAAGTCAATATGAACTACCGCATGAAAAAGTTAGACATTTGGCACTACGTGATGTTTGGATACAGCTACAATGATATTCACATGCAAGTAATTTTTCTTGATGCATGATATACCAAGCCAATACAAACTGCCATGTAAAAAGGTTAAATATACAATGGTGCGTAATTTATTTAAAATATTGTCACAATAATATTTTTTTATTGTACTCTCAAAAGAATAGATTAGATTTGTCTGTTTTGATGAATTAAGAAACATGCAGTGTAACCTCCTTCAGTCATTTGCTGAGCTGTGAAGTTATATTAGACCAGAGTCCTGCGCAGAACCAAGCTTGAGGTAGTATTGGTTGTGGTTGAGACTTTAAAATCGAAAAATAAAAGAGTTTAATTAAGGTAGATATGACCTGATACTTGCATTTAAAGGGACATTCAAGCAAGATATAAAGAAAATGCTTCATTAGAAAGGAGAAAGACGAGTCCCACAATCTCACCTTTTAGCCCTACTTTTGATGGATTAAATTATGATTGGTGAAAAGCACCTTTCAATATAGTTAGTACTAGTTTGGTACTGAGGTGCTTTTATAAAAAATGGGTATAAAAAAAAGCTAAGCTCAAAAAGGTGTTCGGTAAACATTTAAAAACAACTTATTTTCATAGTTTTGAGAGAAAAAAAGCCGTGAAGCAGCAAAAATGAGCTTATTCTCACAACACAGCAGAAACTGTTTTTTTTTCAAAACACAGCAATACCAAACCAGCCCTAGTCATATTAATATAATCACTCAGCTTCAAATGAGAAATTTCTTAAATAAACTTATTTAACTGACATGGGGCTCATTTCATATTATATTTCAACTAAACCGTCCAGCTTTAAAGTTTTGTCCAAATCGGTAACCATGACGTATTAGTATCTCTTTTGTTGTGTGATAGGTATATATTCTCATATTAATTAGTATATCTTTCAACTCGTAATTCATATCATGTAATAAGAGAGATATTGTTACATACGAGAGAATCCCTCATTTGCACAGATGAACCACAAAAACTCATATATGGCTTTAGACTAGTTGGTATGGTGCTTCCAAAGTAGGACCATGCACTAATTGGTCTCTCCACGTAATTATCATTATAGTCAAGCAATAATGTATCTTATCCAAGTTACCTAATGCAAGTTGATGGAATGAGATGGTGGTGTTCAACCACCTAAACTAAGAGGTCTCAACTACTACTAATTGTTATCATCATGTATTTACCTTCCTTTAATTCTAATTAAGATTTGGTAAACTGAATTTCTTGTTGAATCTTTACTTTTCAAGTAGTTAATCTCTTTTATTTCATTTTTTAGTTAATAACTAAACAACAACGGATAATTACTTACTTGTGTTTGTCGCATTTGGTTATGACTCAATATCTTGCATCGGAAGAATAACATATTTTATAGTAGTTATGAGGACCCTTCCTTTACAAGTAGTTTAAGACGTAATTGGGGTCGACCATTTATAGATTAATGAGAGTGTGTTCGAAATACGGAATGACACTACTTGTTATTATATAAATAGTGAGATACTTATGTTAAAAAATTAATAACTTAAACAGTAAAACATCTCCCATTAATATAATGACATCCAGTGTACCACCCGTATTTCGAACACAATGAAGAACTTCTAATGGATTAACATGTTAATTGCATATCTTAGAGTGGTTTGAGAGCTTTAAACGGGTAGCACCGCAGCTTTATCGGGTTAGGTTACGTGGCTGCTACCCCGAAGTTTGTATGGTCTGTTTTTGGAGAGATTTTTTTCAAGTTCAGGGTACTAAGCAGTATTACATAGGGGTGGGCACGAGTCGAATCACAAGAAAGCGTCGAAGAAGGCCAGGAAGAAATTGAAGAAGCAACAGAAGCTGATAACAAAGATGGCGGAGGAGTTTCAAAAGAAAATGACTGCAGTATAGATTACAGTCGAGAAATGAAGAGTCTCTTCTTACTTCTCCAGTTACTTGTTCATAGGTTCTTACGTTTCGGGTCCGATAACACGGTTGTTTTGTGCACACAGGAAGTGCTACAAGTAGTGTGTATATATTTGTCGTCGTAGGAATCACTGATGACCTGTAATTAGTTTTGCAGCACTGACATTGGCATCATGTTCTTCTGAGTTATATATATATATATGTGTGTGTGTGTGTGTGTGTGTGTGTGTGTGTGTGTACATATATATAGTTGCAGTGGTTGGAGTTTATGATGTTATGCAAAATATCAAATTCATTATCCTTTTGATTTACTGTCGTTTGATTCTCTTTTAGTTCATAGGATACTGAAAAATCATAATATTTCGATTTATCTTATAAGAGAGAAACTTTAGAAAGAGGATCCCGCTCTACTGTTTATGTTGAAGTGGGATACTTGATAGGTTGTAGTATGTCATCCCAATAACTGCTACAGTATCATTGTGTGCGGATATGAGATGTTGATATCAATGTCAAATTGTCAAATTGTCAATAATGCTTCAATATGGATGTTAACATGTTATTGATATATAGTAATAGTGTAAAAAAAGTCTTGATATATTGTTGATGGATTTGCAGCGGTTTATGATGCACTGCAACTTATGTGTACGAACACATATTTTTGGAAAATAAGAAGAAGAGAGAGAGAGAATGTGGGGGGAGTAAGAGATTTTTGTTTTTTTTAATATTGGAGGTATTTTAACATCACATGTAGGTGAGTACTTCAATAAAAAACAGTAAAATTTGAACCTGTGAAATTACATTATTGCCCATCAATTTTTTTTGTGTGATAGAAGACTAAATAGTCTTTTCACCCTCTTTTAATTGACAAAGAGAATTTCATTAATTAATAGAGATAATATGTCGTCCAACACCCTTGCCCAAAGTATGGATTTCAATGTATCCTTTGATTTTTGAAAAAAAAAAAAAATACATCCTTTGATTTACTGTCTTCCAAAATATCACTAAAAATAATTTTTCAATTCTTTAAATTAACTAATTTTCACTCCAACTAACTGAGAATTAAGATCAAAACTCGTTACCAAATTTAATTTTGATTGACATTTTTTTTAAATCACAAAATGTTGATTATATTAATATTAATATGAAAATTTTTTGTGACCTCAAATAAATTAAATTTCGATAGCATTTAAATGAAAAAGATTTTGTATTTTGAATTAATGTTTTTTTTTTCAAAATTGCTTTTGCTATGTCCTGAGAATAAATAACTGTGAAAAGAGCAATTAAAAGTAGTTAAATGTTTAGTAAACTATAGTGCTAAAAGTGATTTTAGCACAAAAAAAAAAGTAATGATTGTTAATATAAAAATTTCATTACTTGATATTGTTCGCTTACTCTAGATGAAAAAAACGTTTTTTTTAGAAACATGTGAATAATTGAGAAATATGTGAAGAATTGCTTCTGCTTCCTGTTGTTTTGGACTCATTAAAAAAAAAAAATCTATTTTGCAACACAATTAAGGTCTCAACTTTTCTAACAAACTGCTTTTAAAAAAATTTAAACAACCCCAAAACCAGCCTAAAGACAATTAAAAAAGCTATGGAATTCCACTTTATTCGTAAGTGATCAAGTTACGGCCCTTGGATCATATGGGCCCAACTATACCGGTGAATCCAATTTGATCCAACGGTCCTCTATTCAGCCGCGGAGAATAAGGCCCAACTTTATAACTCAGAAAATCACAGAGACAGTTGCAGCTGGAGAAAGAGGGAGTGACTCGGTGAGCGAGAGCCACCGGCGAGGACACTGAGTCAACTCGGAAGATGTTCCAACCCAGCAACCAGGTGAGAACCCTCTAAATTTTCATTCTCCGCCCTCTGTTTGGCAGCCGAGAAAATGCAAGAAAACAACTGGATACCTCTCTTAGGTTGTAAAGTTTCAAAATTTTCTCTGCTTTTCTCCTCTCTGGAAGCATTTTACCAGCCAGTCAAACGCCCAGCATAGAATTAGCTGTGGTAATTCAAATGCATGTCGTTATTCTCTTCGCCATTGATTTTTCCTGCTTCGAATGCCAAAAAATTAAACCTCAATTCGGTGCTCAATGCCATTCTTTGATTTTTAAGAGCTTTTTGGTAACTGAGTTTAGTTAATTTCTCAAGTTTTTAGCTTTCGAATTAAATTTTACGGTACTGTAAGTTTCCACGAGGAAGAAGAAAGAATGGAAAATCAGCATGCATCTTTGCATTTTCGTTATGGGGAATGTGGTGCTTATAAATTGCTTGAATTAAGTTTTCGAATTGACCCTTTAGAGGCGTTTGCGATTTGTAGTCCGAAACTGCGGTCATGAATTGCGTGAATTCTTTCGTGGCATGAGGCGTTAGTGTTCTAAAACAATTTTCCGGTTGATTTAGTTTTCGCTGTAGACACTGCCGTTAATTTAAGAACTTGAGGCATAGAAATGTGTATGTGCCTTGCTGCACTGGTGAGTGGTGACTGGATATTGTTTGCAGGCTTTTCTTGTTGGTAAAGAAACATATTGAGCATTTAAGTTGTGCTCATTTGTACTTCCATGAACTTATTAGCGAGCGGAGATCACTTCTAAGTTGTGCTCATTTTTTTTCGTGCCCAACGTCAAACTTAATGAACAGTCTGCGTAGTCTGTGTACGTGCATTTTGGTTTCTGTCTGTACTATTTATGCTATTTAATCATTCTTTTGCAGGTTCCAGGTCAGCCGACGCCATTGTCTGTTCAAGATCCTGCAGCTTTGATGCAAGTAGATAAAAAAGAAGCTAGTGTAGTTGTGCAGGATGAAGTCAAAACTGGAGGCTTCTCGCAAGCAGAATCCATCATCTATTACACTAAGGTCGTACAAGAACCTATTCTCGAGACCCTTTATATTTTGATATACCATGCATTTTGGTAAATATATAGTTGATATTTCACCTTGCATTTCATTCGAGGTAATAAATTAATCATAACAAAATTGTAGCATTTCAATGTTTTTGTTATTCATGATTAATGAAATTATTGTGGAGGATCCTTTTTTGAGCAAGGATGGATCAAACTACCTGACTTTCAAAGAGCTAATCTATGCAGAAACTTCAAGATGATTTACAAATGATGGGAATGAAAATTAAACAACATGAGGACAACATAAAACTGCTAAAGTCTCAGAAGCACAAACTAGATGACTCTATTCTCGATTTGCAAGGTATAATATCTTCTTTTTCTTCTTCCTCCACCATCTACATTTCATTAGTGATGTAATGAATCTAGTTCAAACAAGTGAACTAAAAAGTTAATAAATACACAGTTATACTTTGTTGGGCACTTTTTTCTTTGTTTCCATAATTTCTCTACTGAAGCATTTCCTTTCAGTTATTCTAGGCAAGTATCACACCTCAACCACTCCTAAAATCGAAGACGATGGCCATTCCCGCCGTAAAAGTGAGGAGGAAACTACTGAAAAGATTCTTCAGCATGAGAAGTCTGCCGCAGGCATTTTATGGCAGTTGAAAACTCGTCATGGTACTCAGGCTGCCCTTCTTTCCCCGATCAAGGATGTCGTGGGTATTGTTGGTATGCTTGGCAAAGTAGAGGATGATAATCTTAGCAGGTCAAAGTTCCCATATTGTTTGTTGTTACTTATTTCTCAAGTTGTGAAATTGTGCTCTAGTCATATGACCACATTAGTAGTTGTGTCTGTGCTTTTCCGTGCATTTCACTACTAGTCCTTTGATTTTGGATCGTGAGGGGTGAGTTTAGGCGCCATAGTCCTGCAATAGATATGTTTGTTGTAATAGAGATGGAATTTTACTGACCAGGTGTAAACGGATCCATTAGTTTAGGGGCGGTGTAGAATGAGCACATTGATAACACCTGGCCATGAAAATGTTTCTAATTGGCCCCCTCTCCAGCTCTCCCCTTCCCACTGTATCTATCTAGGCCAATAACTATACCGAACCTAGTTTTCATTCCACTTATTTGGAATATGCAGGATTTTTTCAGAGTACTTAGGGATCGAGACTATGTTGTCAATTGTCTGTAAGACTTATGAGGGTGTTAAAGCTCTAGAAGTGTATGAGAATGAAGGCTGCATAAAGAAATCTGCTGGTCTTCATGGACTTGGTTCATCCATTGGTAGGACATTGGAAGGCCGATTTCAGGTCATTTGCCTTGAAAATTTAAGGTATGTGTCCTATATACTGTCATACCTCAAGCAGTCTGAACAAGTATTGATTTGTAAACTTCATTGTATCGACTATGAAGGCAAATTCTTTTATTTTTCTTTTTCTGCAGACCATATGCTGGTGCATCTGTGCCCGATGACCCACAGATGAGGCTTGATATTATAAAGCCTAGGTTAGCCAATGGGCAGTGTCCACCTGGATTTCTTGGTTATGCTGTAAATATGATTAATGTGGATAGCGCTAACTTATATTGTCTCACAGCCACTGGGCATGGCCTAAGAGCGACTTTATTTTATAGCCTCTTTGGTCGCTTGCAAGTATATAAAACAAGGGCAGATATGGTTCCTGCTCTTCCTTGTATTAGTGATGGAGCCATTTCTTTAGATGGCGGGATGATTAGGTCAACTGGTGTGTTTTCTCTTGGCAACCGGTAAGAAGCTCTGCCAATAAATGAAATCAAAAACTAATTTTAACCCCATATTATATTGAAGTAGTTTTGTCACACCGTCTTTTGAAACCATTTTTGAAAATTTTAACGTGCAAACAATTTAAGATATATATAACTTTTGAAATGTCTAGATATTGTGGTCATTTGTTAATGCTAACAAGGATTTTGTTTGCTGCTAACGTCTTAGTTTTTAAACATATCTGATGTCAGGGAAGATGTAGATGTGAGATTCCCCAAACTGTCAGCAACATCAGGCCTACCCGAAAACTATCTCGAGTCTGAAAGACAAATCAACGAGTTGAAGTGGAAAAAAGACAAACTGCAGGAAGATATGAAGAGTGAACAATCATTATTGGACAACGCAAAGTTCAATTTTGACAGAAAGAAGCAAGATTTTCTCAAGTTCCTGGCTGATAGCTCATCATATGTAACGCAGGTAACACCCGTAACATATCTTAACTAACAATAAAGTGCAGTACAGTCGTAAAAGTAACCTGCCATGTGCCTTCAGTTGCAGGCACCAACCCGATAAAAAGAAATTATTAGACTAGTGCTGGATTCTAGGACCCTTTTTCATTCAGTCCGTCGGCTGTGTTAAATACGTTTTCATCCATTATTGTGGGAAATTAGGGAATATGGATAGTTATATAAATCGTGGATACTGAAGTAAATCATTTCAAACTTGCTATTGCACTAGACAGGAGCCCGTATTGAGTAGTTTATCATCTGTGTAGTTTTGCTTTATTTTCCTTCCTTCGTCAATGAGTTTTAATTGCGGCCTTTATCATTGCAGCATCAACTTTATGCACCGCAAAGCAGAATGACCCCGAGGTGACAACTGACATACATTGAAGGAACGAGGCACCGTCGAACCAAACAGAAGGGAGAGCCTTCAGATCTTTGTCCAGTTGAGTGTCTGGCGGAGGATCACGTTTTCATCTATGTTTTAGAAAGCCACAAAAGCCTAGTGGGAAAATGCATATTCTTTTAGTCAAGTGGGGGGCTCGTTTGTTGAAGTTTAGGGCCTCGTAGAACTAGAATTAGGTAGAGGAATTTTTCTATTTGTTTGTCCTCTCAAATGCTTGTGACTTTGTGATAAAAATGTATGCACCATTTTTCCATACGAAGACGACCTATCTACTAGGATAGAAACTTAACACCCTATCTGATAGAATATCGAGCTAAAATTCGAAGGGAAGTTCTCCTTGCAGGAGAGGACTGGCCATATGACCCGGCGAGGAAAGAAATGAAAACCAAGAGGAAAGGGCACACGGTTGACAGGATGGCCAAGGAGAAACGGGAGAACACTGAGAGGCTGATGGCGAAGATGCCGCAAATGCTGGCCGATTTCAAGAAGCGCAGGTGGGAAAAGAAGATGAAGGAGGAAGAGAAAGCCAAGGACTGATCTTGTCTGAGATGATGATGCTGTTGTAGTTTTGCCTGCGTGTTGAATGCCTGCGTATTGAATGCTTGCTAGAACTACTTAGAAGATAGATGTGTTCGGATCATCGATGTATAAATACCGACATTTCGTTCTGTTGGCTATTGTTTTTCTTTTAGGACCTCATTGATCAAAAGTGTGCATTGCAGAGCAAGAATATGCTAGACGTTATCTAAAAAAAGTAAAAAAGAAAATAAGGTTGCGTGAAAGGATCTATCAAGACTTGAACCCAGGTTATAGGATCCGGGGTCCAGTGTCCTAACCACCAGACCACAAAACCTTGCTGTTGACATCTCCTGGTAGTTTCGTATTTAACAGTTTCAAGGGACTGCTGAAGGTTAACGACAGGTCTTATGAAGTCAAAGATTCCAGTCCGAGGAAATCACGACGAATAAAAAGCTGACTTGTCAGACTCAAAAAAAAATAAAAAAATGAAACTCTTATCAGATGTGGCCGCCCTAGTGGACTGAGGGAAAGGAATCCTCGGATCCTTTCATCTTAATCTAGTAAGTTCGGATATTCAAATCATTGAAATTTGATCCAATGATTATAAATAAAGTTTACTTTAAAGTTATAATAATTTTAGCCGTTAGATCAAATTTTAATAACCCGAATCCTCAGACTTGGTATATTAGGTGGAAGGGATTCGGAGAGGATCTCTATCCTGGAATGAGGATCCTTTCCGGATCCTCAAATCATGTCCGTTCATCTTACATAATGTGATCAAAAATTATTTTAAATACTTTTATTTTAAATTAAATATAAATAGTATCTGATGAAAACTGACCGTACAATATACAATAATTTAAGGATCTTTAGAATCCTCGTAAGGGGAATCCAAAGATGATCTCCTGGACACTAGTGTAACATGAGATCACATAGATTTTAGTTGTGTCAGTTCACTTCCGGTTATGCCACTATTGTCTTGTCAAAATAGTCACGTTTTATTGGAAAAAATTATAAATATAAATGACGTTTTTTTTTTTTTTTTTTTCACGCCCGTAATTGTAAAAGTGTTCCAAATTTTAAATATTTTAACTTTTTCACATGTCATGATACAATTGATTTCAACGTTAATTCATTTTTATTTAATTTTAAGTGAGAGTTTTATCGTTTCTTAAAATAAAAAATTAGAAATCAAATTATAACTGACGTCATTTTCCCAAGTCATTTTCCTCCACCTCTTGCCAACAAAATAAGATCACATGGACAGTTTAACAGAGAAATTTTTTAATAGGTCAAGGACATGATATGGTACTTTAAGTGTCATAAAATTTGGTGTCACGAAATTTATTAGCGGCACACTGAAAAATCTCTGGGTTCCAATCCACCACCTATCCATGAAAACGACGTCGCCCAAAGTCACACATGGGTGTTGTCTGTCCCTTCCATCTGAAAAAAAAGCCAGAAAAGATGGTTCGAATGCCGAGGGACTTCTCGGTGTCTGTTCGGCCCAACAACATTTAATGTCCCAAAACAATAGTAATTACGAGTAACAGGAAACACAAAACAGTAGGCAGTTTCGTTTCGTTTTCCGAGGTGGTTTTTTGAATGTTTGATCATTTTCATGTTGTAAGAACTTGGAATTCTGTGAGCTGAAGCGGTATGTCTGGTTGCAGCTGAGGAGTGAGCGGTCAAAGGAGGATGGAGAAGGTGGTGGAAGAAGTGGAGAGGAAGAGGAAAGCTCAGGAGGAGGTTGGGAATGGTGAAAATGGCGGGGGAGCTGAGGGCGGTGAACAGAGGCAGAAGAGAAATAGGCAGGGAAGTGGTGAAATTTTGGGAAATGGGGATCTGGGTGTTGCAGGGGAGGTAGCTGAAGGGTGGTTCGGCGGTGGAAACGGCGGCGGGCTGAGTGTTGGGGATGAAATTGCGCGCCTTTTTGGTGAAGTGAGTGGCGGCGGCCTTGGGATTGATGGTGAAGGTGTGAGCTTTTGGGGTGGTGGTGGTGGAGATGTATGTAAATTTGGCGGTCAAGGTTTTGGAATTGAAGAATTTCGAGGTGGCTTCGGCGGAGCTGGTTCTGGAAATGGAGGTAAGATTTTGGGTTGTGAGAATTTTGGATTTGGGTTTGTTGGAAATAAGGACCCTGGTGGCTGTTTGGGTCTTGACGGTGGCGGCGGAGGCATTGGGTTTTGGGGTGGTGAGCATTCTTGTAGCGGACTTGGCGGTGGTGTGGGAAATCAAGTTGTTGGGTGTGATCTGTATGCTTGTGAAAATGCCGGTGAGGGAATTCAAGGCCTGTTTGGTGGTGGAGTCAGAGGCGGAGCCGCCGGGCTTTTAGGCGGTGAGAGTGGTTTGTTATGGGGTGGTGAAAGAGATCAGGGCTGCTTGAGTGGAAATGCGTCTGGAAATGGAGGTGGAATGGTGGAGAGTCGAGGTGAATGTGGCGAAGATAGACGTGGAAAAACTGCTAAAGAAGAGGGGGTTGGGTCGAAAGGGAGGCGTGGGAGGCCGAAAGGATCAAAGAACAAGAAGAAAGTTGTTGGTGCTGAAGAGGGTGTTGTGCAATCGAGTGGAATTGCTGGAGAAAATGTGGGTGAAGGCGAGATTGTGAGGCCAAAGAGCAGGCAAGGTCGACCGAAGGGGTCCAAGAACAAGAAAAAGGAGAACCTTGCAGATGATGAAAATGAGGGTATGCCTAGCGGAAATGTGGGTGGAGAAGGGACTGTGAAGCCACAGAGTAAGCAAGCTCGACGAAAGGGTTTCAAAATTAGAAAGAAGGCTATTGTGAATGATAAAATTGAGGCTTTGGCGCCCGTTGTGGGTGACGAAACTAAGGAATTGATTGCCATAGCCACCACCAGCAATGAAGTTGGGAATGAGATCGTTCGGCCAAAGAAAAAGGTTGGTCTACCAAAGGGTTCAAAGACTAAGAAAAATCTTATAGGAGAGGAAAATCATGGCATGTCAATATTAGGGGCTGAGGGCATTGACATATCTGCTCCGCCTGTCGGTTTGAAGAAAGAAATGCTTGATCTCATGGGTGAACAAAGCGAGAAAATGGAAGTTAAAGTGTGCAGTGGTTATGAAGTTGGAGATGGGATTGTGCGGTTGAAGGCAAAGCGTGGTCGGCCTAAGGGTTCAAAGAATAAGAAGAAAAATGTTGGTAATGATAGTAAGATTGAGGTTGTCTGTTCGACAGGGCTGGAGGATGAGATCATTATTGGAGAAGAAATGGGGAGATTGCCAAGTGGAGCCACTTCTGAGGATGTTCAGATGAAGAAGAAGCGTGGTCGGCCAAAGGGTTCAAAGACTAGGAAGAAAAATATTGTAGGTGAGCCAATTCAGGAAGCGCCTGGTGATATAGTAGTTGGCAATCACGGTAATGGTGAAGATGCTTCCGTGACGGGTTTGGAGAATGAGATGCCTATTCTTTTGGGTGAGGAATATAAGCGAATGCCTGTGGAAGCCTCTGGTAATAATGAAGGAGGAAATGAGGACGCCCAACAAAAAGATAGGCATGGTCGATCGAAGGGTACAAAAACCAAGAGACTAAATGCTGCTGCTAGAAAACACCGAAGGCAGGAAGGGGAAAACGTTGAAAAAGTTGATGGTGGAGATGAGAGATCAGAGAAAAAGCGCGGCCGACCTAAGGGTTCAAAGAAAAAGAGACAAATTCTTATTGCTGAAGCTTGGAGTAAGATTGCAGCACTGCAGCATCAAAGTTCAGCATCTGCATTGGAGGTAGAACATCAGAAAGAAAAGGATTTGAAGGAGGACTTCGGTTTCCCTGTGGAGCAATTGAAAAACTCTCATATGGAAAAACATTATCATAAGAGGCCTAGAGGGAGACCCCGGAAGTACTTCGGTTTCCCTGTGGAGCAGTTGAAAAACTCTGATGGTATAGAAAACAATTGCCATAAGAGGCCTAGAGGGAGACCCCGGAAGTTCAACAACCAGCATCCGATTGCCACTGAGTTTAACAGGGGAAAATCTACTGATATGTCGGTGAGTTGTCCTACATTCAATATTTCCTAACTTGATTAACTATCTGAACAAGCTTGTTAGGATGTTACTCATTTGAACAAGCCACTTCTCTTTGTACAAATATCCTCTGTGTCTTTTCCCTACATATAGAATATATACCTTTACAAGTTAATTCAAATCGTATATTGCAATGCATTTTAACAGTTTTTTTTTCTTCTTTTAGGATGATAAAAGGGAGAGTTTAATGTGCCACCAGTGCTTGAAGAATGGCAGAAAAGGTGTCGTTGTTTGTTTAAACTGCAGAAGGAAACGCTATTGCTACGCTTGCCTTGCAAAGTGGTAATTCCAATTCAATGATCATTTGCTTGTCACAATGTAAACTTTTCTGTTAATTGTCAATTAATATGAATGTTCTTTCTTATCGCTGATATGAATGAGTCTCATCAAATGTTTCTGATGGTATGTTCATTCAAATGAATAGGTATCCAGACAAGACAAAACAGGACATAGAGATTGCTTGTCCATATTGTCGTGGTAACTGCAACTGCAGAATATGCCTCAAGGAGGATTTAGTTGTGGTGGTGTGAGCCGTACCTTGATTTTCTTCTTCTTTTCGTCTCGTTTCTTCCTGCCCTAGGAAAGCAATTTTTTCCTTTTTATACCAAACAAAGTACTTGTTTTACAGGCTGGGAATGAAGAAACAGATGCAAATGTTAAGTTGCAAAAGTTGCTTTACTTGCTATGCAAGACACTTCCTCTCCTTCGGCATATCCAACAGGAGCAGAAGTCTGAGTTAGATGTGGAATGCTGTTTGCGGGGTATTGTAATATGATTTGTTTTCCTTTTTAACTTTCATTTTATATGCTAGATTGATGGTTCAGAAATGTTTAAGGACAGGTTTTCCGTACTTGTTTTTATAGGCGTCCAATTGACAGAGGAGGACTTCACGAGGTCCATACTAGAGGATGATGATCGAGTGTATTGGTATCATCTTATTCGCCCTTATGATTGAAGTTGAAATACTAGTTATCTATGAAGTTACTTTTTCAGGAATTTCATAAATGTGTACGTTAATGTAATCAGTTATGTTGATAAATAAAATGGTTACTCTGTTACCGTCTTACTAGGTAGGTTTGGACTTGACCAATCACATAGTTTTCTAGGGGGTTACTTACCAATAAGTACTGGTGTTCATGAATATCCTACGATTTGAGTCAAATGTATTTTAGTTTCATTCATATGGTACAAGTTTGTGACCGTGAACAAATTCTACAGTGACAATTGCAACACATCCATTGTCAATTTCCACAGAAGCTGCCCCAATCCTGATTGTTCTTACGATCTCTGTCTCACTTGTTGCTCGGAACTAAGGGAAGGATGCCAGCCTGGAGGTGGTGAAGCAGAATCATCTTGTCAGCAGTCTTTTCAAAGAGTATATGGTAAAGGCACGGTCACAAATGGCCAGATTCCTGCTAATGGGAATGTATCGCAGAGTGAAATGGCTGTACCATTAAATGGGTGCACAAGTGACATGTCATCTGATTTTCCTGATTGGATAGCGGAGGCTGATGGTAGGATTCCTTGTCCTCCTAAAGCACGGGGAGGTTGTGGTGCCCAGTTACTTGAACTGAGACGTATCTTTGAAGCTAATTGGGTTGAAAAACTAATTTTGAGTTCCGAGTACCTCACTATCAATTATCAGGCACCAGATATTGATTTTTCTCGAGGATGTTCTTTGTGCCATTCTATCAGTTCTGCTGGAGATGGAGTAAAAGCTTCTGAAGTAAGGCAGGCGGCTTATAGGGAGCACTCCCATGATAACTTTCTCTACTGCCCAAATTCTGTTCATCTGGGGGACAATGATATTGAGCATTTCCAGTTACACTGGACGAGAGGCGAACCTGTTGTAGTTAGGAATGTACTAAAAAAGGCTGCTGGCCTGAGCTGGGAACCAATGGTTATGTGGAGGGCTTTTATTGGGGCGAAAAAAGTATTGAAAGAGGAGGCTGTCAGGGTCAAAGCCATTGATTGCCTTGATTGGTGTGAGGTACGCGGTGGACTTTCAACATGTTGAATGCAGATTTCATCTCCCCTATATTTGTTTAACTGTCTTTCAATTTGGCACTGCAGGTTGAGATTAATATTTTTCAGTTCTTTAAGGGCTATATAGAGGGCCGTAAGTATAGTACTGGGTGGCCAGAGATGTTGAAGCTGAAGGATTGGCCCGCATCAAATTCCTTTGACGAGTGTTTACCAAGGCATTTTGCTGAATGTATTGCCATGCTTCCATTTTGTGACTATACCCATCCCAAATCGGGAGTTCTAAATCTTGCGACTAAGCTTCCTGTTGCCTTAAAGCCAGACTTGGGACCAAAGACGTACATCGCTTATGGAACAATGGAGGAGCTTGGTAGAGGTGATTCAGTAACAAAACTGCACTGTGACATTTCTGATGCGGTACACAATTAATCAATTTTAGATTTGTTCTTTATTAGCTATTGTTGCCTGTCATTCTCATTTTTCTATGCAATTCCACTGCTACTTCAACCGTTTTTCACAATTTCTGTTTAGGTTAATGTGCTGACACACACAACGGAAGTAAAGATTCCTCCACGACAGCGGAAAATCATCAACCAATTACAGAAGCAATATGAAGCTGAAAATGAAATAATTGAAAGGAATTCATGTAACGAATATCTTGAGCCTTCTAATTTGACAGAAGACATGAAGTTTGTCAATGCCCTGGAGTCCAGTTCAATTCCAACTAGAAATGCTCGAAGTAATGATACTTCAGAGGTTGTATATGGAGGTGCTGTGTGGGACATTTTCCGTCGCCAAGATGTACCCAAGTTAAAAGAGTACCTACAGAAGCATCACAAAGAATTCTACCACATCAGTAATTCCCCCGTGAATTCTGTACGTATCATGGCTTATCCCATTTGCAAATATTACTTGAATTAAGTCGTTTCTAAGTTGATGTGCTGCACTTGAATTTGATTCAGGTTATTCATCCTATTCATGACCAGACTCTTTATCTTAATGAGAAGCATAAAAAGAAGTTGAAGGAAGAGTTTGGTAAGGAGTTGCGTGCATTTAGCGAGTCATTCTTCTTAACCAGAATTATAACCGAGTAATTCTTGCTTGACGAGTTATTAACTGTGAATGTGAATTACTTTCAGATGTTGAGCCTTGGACATTTGAGCAACACCTCGGCGAGGCTGTTTTCATTCCTGCTGGATGCCCACATCAAGTGCGAAATAGGAAGGTGAGATTTCCTCCCATTGATTTGCCAATTTATCACGACTTACTTTCTTTAGCAGCGCTAGATTATCAATATTCATGTAATGTATCAAGTTTGACACTGTCTTCATTTTCTCTTCTCTCAGTCATGCATTAAAGTGGCCCTCGATTTTGTTTCCCCCGAAAATATTCAAGAATGCATCCGACTAACAGAGGAGTTTCGCTTGCTTCCGGAAAAACATAGATCCAAGGAAGATAAATTGGAGGTAGTGTTAATTCGGATTGGTCCTGGAGCTCATCGTTAGGTGGTTTTGCATCCTGAATAATCTGATCGTAATAGGTTGAACTATTAGTTTTGCATCAAGGCAGCACTACGATTATATGATTTTCGTGTTATGTCTGGTTACAGTGAAAATGCTACGGGCTTAATCTTATATTGTCTCCGTACAATGTATACGATACAAGGCAAGAATGCGGCATGTCTGGAGTTGTCTCTTGGGCTTAACGATTTTGCTGTTTTCAGGTGAAGAAGATGGCGCTATTCGCAGCGAGTGATGCTATAAATGAAGCCAAAAATCTGATGTCAAAAAAAGAGTGAGTGATCTTTCTCTGAAGCTCATTATCCAATGCCAAAAAATAACAATCTCATGATGAAAGTTCTCGTGTCTGTTCACAGATTCTGATTGTTTTCGGGGACCCTGCAGTTCATTAAACGGAGCGTGGGAGCTTAGGAGGAGCAGCCATTCCGATTGAAAGTGCCGGTCGGAGATATCGGTTTAACGTTGTAGAGTTGAGGATTATGAAAGCTTTGCTTGTAGAGAAGTGATCTTTCACCTTCTTAGCTTGCATTGTAACTATTTCATGTAAAGATGTAAATGATAATGTTTAGATTTCTTCGTAAATAAGCCCCTTTTTTCCAAAAAGGGGACCAGCTAGCGTCACGGCAGTCCACCCTTCATTCGTTAATAAGCCCCTATTTTGATGTGTTCATTTGTCACTTTTTTGATAATTCACAAGTTTAGGCAATCTCGAATGGAGAGGGTTAAAGATCTAAAAGCTTAAAAATCGCTTGAAAATTCCTCTCTAATTGATGGCTGGTTATAAGCCTATAATTATATGGAGCTTATTAGATCATTAATTGTCTAAAAGGCATTAGTCTGACCAAATGTAACCTCTCATTGGCCTTTTTTGGGATCCATTTGAACAACTAGATTTGAAAACGTCTAAATTAAATTAATCAATAAATTTAAAGTTAAAACTAATAAATCATTACGGGTTACGTTCAACCCTTTGGTTGAAGATTGTATATGAGTATGGGTTGACTTATTTCAAAATAACTTCTTGGAAAATGAGTAAATGAGTTGTTCTATGATTTCTTATAGCAAGTGACATAAAGTAATCATACTCATGCACTAAGATAGAAGTTCGATTTTTACTGATTTTCTTTCATCTAATAACTAACCATTTAATCCAGTAATGCTATACTTCTACTGAAAAGAAAAAAGATGAGCACTGAGTTGCTCTAAGTCCGGACTCATCTCAAACCTGCTTGTTTTTTCTCATTTCAAGTAAGTAAACATATACGGATAGGGATGCGATATCCGTACACCCCTTTTTACTTCTCTCACATCCTTTTAATTTTCGATCGTCGGATCAGATGAATTGAAGAAGATCAAAAGACATAAATTAACAAAGGGTGTGTGGGAGAAGTAAAAAGGGTTGTGTGGATAATACCCCGTACGGATATAATTCTGATCAAGTTAAATGACATTTTTATCCTTGCGGAAGTCTTCAAACGAGACGTTGGTGAAATAGATAATCGATCAAACCTCAAGCCCTGTTCTGTAAATTCAGATATTTCCATTGTCTTTCTTGCAAGTTATTACAACAAACAATCGAGCTCAAATATCTCTGCTTTCCTTTGTACTCTTCTTCCAAATTTCAATTTCCAACTCCACCATCAAAATTCAACCACCATACACACACTTCCCAAAATCTTAGATAAACCCAGTTGAATTCAACCCCAAATTTCCCAAACCCCTCTCCAAGTTTTCATTTTTTCACCCAAAAATCCATGTTTCGATCCTAATTTTCCCTCGTTTTCCTTCGTTTTCCTTCATTTTCCCGGAAAATTCCTTACGCCCCCAATGGCCGCGGCGCTCAGATCCAAGCCCTCCAGAGACACGGCGTCGTCCGCCGTCTCCCAATTCAGGTACTTTGTCTTGAACTACATGCACGCCAGCAGGGTGGCCAGCTCTCACTATGCCCACCGCACCAAAAGCGAGGACTTGTTCATGAACACTCCCTACCACTTCACTTCCTTCAACCCGGTGTTGCTCGGCGGCAAATTTGTTGGAAAGGGTTCGCAGATTTTCAATCACCCGCGAGCTTCCCAGAGAGTTAGCAAGAATAGTGATAAGAATTGGGGACGGAAATTGAGCAGCAGCAGGTGTAACACTGTTGTGTCGTCTCAGGGGGACCCGCCGGAGGTGTGGTCCGGTGATGGAATTGTGGTTCGGACTGCTCCCGGCTCGAATTTGGTTCGTGGAGGAGGCGGTGGAGGCGGTCCGAGCCCTGGCTCGGGAGGTGGTTTCGATTCGAATTCGAAGGATGATAATTGGGGTGGTTCCAATTTGGGGAATAATTTTCCTACTCCGAAGGAAATTTGTCAGGGGCTTGACAAGTTTGTAATTGGGCAAGAGAAGGCCAAGAAGGTGAGTTTTTGCTTTGGTTTTTTTGTGCCTTTTGGAGTTCCATATAGGAGAAGTTTATGTTTCTGTAATTCTTATAAAATATATATTTTTTTTTATGCAGGTGCTATCTGTTGCTGTTTACAATCACTATAAGAGGATATATCATGAGTCCCTGCAGAAGTGGTCAGCTCCATATCCATATACATAACTTGTTTGACTCTATGTTTTATGTCAAGAAGAATCATTTCGAGGCTCGCGTCGTAGATTGAAGGCATTTGTACTAATTATATCTCATAGCTTTAACTATAAGTCATGAAAAGTGAAATTCAGTTTAGTTTTGGTGTCTACTCAAAACCCGACTGGACTGACTGATGCTGACTCCTACTTTCTAACATGCTGCTTCTTGGGAAATTAGGTCCACAGGAGATTCAAGTAACGGGAAAGTAGATGCAACGGATGACGATAGAGTGGAGCTTGAAAAAAGTAACATTCTTTTAATGGGGCCAACAGGCTCAGGTAATTTAGAATTATCCTTGAAAACTTTGAACTACATTTTCACTATGTATTAAACTGTTCAATTGCTGCTTGGATTCGCCTGGCATCTTAGTTTCATTGGATGTTGCATGTATTTGCATTATAGCTGGAAATTTGTATCTTTAATGCTTTCTTGTTTGGATGCCTTTTAACAGTTTGCTTTTGAAGTGTTCATTAGTCTGTTGCTTTGGTTACTGGTCTCATTTGTTCTCTTTGATGCTCTTTCAAGGACAGGGAAGACACTACTCGCCAAAACCTTGGCACGGTTTGTGAATGTTCCATTTGTTATTGCAGATGCAACAACATTAACTCAAGTAAGTTTTGTTGTTCTTCGTTGTTGTTTTGTAATTGAAGTTCTTTTGTAATAGAAAGTGGTTCTTCCTTTACCATTAAATTTGGGGTCACTATGCTCTAGGCAAGGGTCAACCTTGGATGTTTTTTGAAAACGCTGGCCATCATGGTCCCTAGAATATTCATCGTACATGCATGGTTTATTATTTAGGTTCTTTTCCAAATTTCTATTGCTATGTAATGAGAACTGTAAGAGATTAATATGGATTACAATGGCATTGTTCTCGTCAGTATGGTGGTCATGACCCAATGTTGTTACTTGCAGGCAGGATATGTAGGGGAAGATGTGGAGTCAATTTTATACAAACTCCTTACGGTAAATTTTCTTGAACATATTTTATTTTTGTCCGTCTGAATCCGTGTGTTGATACTCTATGCTCAATAGCAAGGGCTCCCTTTGGTCCTACATGTGCATCGCATTGTTAATTGTTTTCCGCTTATTGTGATTAGTTTTGGAATTGGCAACAAGAATCCTATTATTGAAACATCTTTTATGCTTACGGTTTCATTCTTATCTTATATTTACGTCTATAAGAAGCACAAACCTGTTTTAATTGTTTTATGCCATAATTCTGTGGGGAAATTTGAAAGTTGTTTTTTTGCCATAAACTTTTGTTATCATTACCTACCGAGTTCCCACTTATCATGAATTTTTTCTTGAAATGTGCACTTATATGCTTATAGTGCTTAGTAATCCCAAGTTCATCTATGTGCTTCTGTATTCAATGCCAGGTTGCCGATTATAATGTAACAGCTGCACAGCAGGGAATTGTTTATATTGATGAAGTTGACAAGATTACCAAAAAGGTGCGTTTTTATGTTCATCTTTCTCTCTTTGTGGAAGAAGCTTTCAACTCTTTTATGTGTACCGACCTCTGCTCCTATTTTGCAGGCTGAGAGCCTAAATATTAGTAGGGATGTATCTGGAGAGGGAGTTCAACAGGCTTTACTTAAGATGCTGGAAGGGACCGTAAGTGCACATTTTACCTACTATGTTAGTACTAATGCTAGCGGGCATCGTGGAGATGGCATGTTGGTTAAGGCTGTGTCAAGGGCCTAAAGGCCCATCTCAGGATATTCTTGTACGCAGTCATAGATGTCTCATTTATGACTTGGATTCATTTAAACAATTTTAACCTGTGTGGGTTTAATTCATTGTATTCTGATCTTTTGATTTCTTATGATCTAGGTTGTCAATGTTCCTGAGAAGGGAGCTCGAAAGCACCCTAGAGGTGAAAACATTCAGGTATATCAGTGGCTGAAGATACATGTCTGAGTTATCTACACATTATATTAAACTGCATTAGCTCATGGATACAATTAGATATTGATCATAGTCATAAAAATAAGCTTATTCTGCTATTCTTTACAATTTAACTAGTATTTAGCCTAGTAAATATCTTTGTGTGTTATGGTTGACTGATTTTTGGTTGGGTAGATCATTGAAAATGAGTTCGTAAGTTTACTCTTTTTTCCCCCATGTTTCTTCACAGATTGACACAAAGGATATTCTCTTCATATGTGGTGGTGCCTTTATTGACTTAGAGAAGACAATCTCAGAAAGGTACTTCTATACCCCCAACACTGAAATTATGTAATCTTCTTGTTCTCTCTCTCTTTAAAGTACTTCTTTGCCTTTTGCTTGTCCTACAGACGCCAAGATTCTTCTATTGGGTTTGGTGCCCCCGTTAGGGCAAATATGAGGACTGGCGGTGTTACAGATGCTGCTGTTACATCATCCTTATTGGAGATTGTAAGTTCCCATCAGTTTTGAATCAACAAGTAGCAGTTTATATAACCTTCCTTCTATTTTTATCTCTTCTTTAGAAATTTATAAATATGTGAGAACTGGTTTTGTTGACAGGTTGAAAGTAGTGATCTTATACGATATGGGTTGATACCAGAATTTGTTGGCCGGTTTCCCATCCTTGTCAGCTTGTCAGCACTAACCGAAAATCAATTGGTTGAGGTAATACATTGCATTCTTTTTGTTTCTGTAGAAACAGCTCAGGCATCTATGTCATTTACTCGACCATTTTTAATCTCAGAAAGTCTTTATGGATTGATGGCTAATTATTCATTACTAAGCTTTTGAACAAGTCCTTACTGATCCGTCCAGTAATTTGAAATTTTTTTTCCCCTTTGAGAGGAAATACGTCTGGTACGACTAATTTTAATCGACATGGTGGTCTACTTATTCTTGTCGTGCTCAAAGCTTTTACAAGTATTGTTTTTCTTGTTTGGGTTTTTTTTTAACGTTATTTGTTAAATGTACTGTCCCATGTGTTTCTTACCGGCAACTATGTATTGTAGGTCTTGACAGAACCAAAAAATGCCCTCGGGAAGCAATACAAGAAGATGTTCCGAATGAATGGAGTAAGTAATTCTTAACTATCAACGTGCTGGTTTTGTGCACTTCTATTGAAATCTTTGCTTGTTATGTCCGACTTACATAGTCCGTTGTTGCAATTCTCTCACTTCCATGGTTCAAGACACAATTGGTTTTTAGCTAGATCGTTTATGCTTCACTTCTCTCAGGTCAAACTGCATTTCACAGAAAGTGCATTGAGATTAATTGCTACAAGGGCAATATCAAAAAACACTGGGGCTCGTGGCTTACGAGCAATTTTAGAAAATATATTGATGGACGCCATGTATGAGGTACTCCCACTTATCCTTGTATCTTTTGCATCTTTGGGAGTCATCTGATATATCGTAGATGATTTAATTCTCTTGGTATCTTTTGCAGATACCTGAAGTTAGAACAGGCGATGACATAATAGACGCAGTTGTAATTGATGAAGAAGCCGTTGGATTGGACGGCAAGGGTTGTGGAGCTAAAATCCTTTATGGCAAGGGTGCATTGGATCGCTATCATTCGCAGAATAAGGCGAAGGATGCAGAGGTGCGTATTTCTCGTATTCGTCAATAAAGTCCTGCTTTCAGTTTACCACCCTCATGTTTTTATCTGCTAACGCCGTATTCTCGTCTAGCAGATTGCAACACCGGAGGGCACCGATGGAGAGCCGGAGGCGGAAACAGAGCTTTCTTCCGTTGTTGCTAGCATGTAAACTTGGCTTTTGTTGGACCTTATTTGTATCCCTAAATCCCAATCTTGTACATAATAAACATTAATTTAATAAATCAGATAAGCGTCATGTATAATTTTTTTTAATGATACAAAGCGTTATGTAGCCGATTCCACGTAGCGGGATAAGGCTTGGTTGTTGTTTTGATACAACGCGTTTTGTATATTTCTCACAAGGGTTTTGGTTCAGTCCTGTTCAGCAGCAGGATGCTTTACTTCTCGGTAGAAATTTGTGAGCTTGACTTTCTGCTTTACCCAGAACCTTGGAAATATGCAAATAACTTTTAATCAGAAATAGAACTTGAGGATGCTAAACAGACAATAATAAAAAATTTATGTTATCTTAGGATTTAAATTAGAGTGATAGGAATCTTTTCGTTCTATATTTAGATTATTTTTCACATAATTGGTTTTGAAATATTAATATCGAGAGACTCATCCACCGAAGACTTTATCGCACCCTTATATCTCCATCTCTTGAGTCGAGGTCAATCTTTGGCAGGGGGTTTTTTTTTTTTTTTTAATTGTTTTTTTAATTTTTTTATTTTGGGTAAGTAGGATTCAAAAGGATCGCCAACGAGGAACTTTTATTAAAACAAACACACACTTGCAAACCAAACAAAGACCCAAATTATTCTTAGAAACAAACAAAGAACGGGGCTTAAAAACAAAGAAAACACATAAAATGAGCCCAACAACAGTGAAGCCCAAACAAAAACGAACTATCGAGAACCACCCATTGTGTTCTCCACCCCCCAATCCGAGAATTAGCCAGCCGTCCAATCCACTTCCACCGTAGATCATCACCTCCACAGGCGCCACCTGCACACAACCATCAACAAGAGATAGTTGGCGAGAGAGAAGCCAACCATCGGAAAGAAGCTCCGGGAAATTCCCGAGCAACACCACCAGAAATAGCAGGCAACAAGGATAACGTGGTGGTGTGGCAGACACCTGAGCTGGATACAACACTGAAACTCTACACCCGAACTCAACAGAAAATCGCTACAAAACGAAGAAAGGAAGCAGGGGCGGGCCCAGGCCCAGTGCGGGCAAGGCAGCCGTCTGGGGCCCAAAAAACTTGGGAGCACCAAAATTATTAGAGTGGTATATTTATATATGTTTTTATAAGAGTATAAATTTATAAAATTTGGTTTAGTGACTAAGAAATTTAACCAGAACTGATGATTTTGTTGTTTAAAATTAATGAAATGAGAAGGTCTTAGGTTCAAAACACCCTGGGTGCTTATTTACATTCCAATTTTTACAAATTCATCTTCATAACTGTATAAATTTATAAAATTTGGCTAAATGATCAAGAAGTTTAATTAGAAGTAATGGTTTTTGTTGTTTAAAATTAACAAGAGGTCCTAAGTTTGAAATGCTATGTGCATGTTTATTTTTTTCAATTTTTACAAATTTTTGTTTGGTTGTTAATTTATTTACTAGCTAGTAGTTATGTAGGTTGCTATGTTTAAACATCTGTTCCAATTCAAGTCTAATCTTCAACAAAGAGTAACGCATATACTAAATTTTTAGACTAAATTTGCAAATAATATTACATGTCATCAAAAGGTTTAACTTAGTGTTCATTCATTACTTATACATATCCTTAAAGACTCGAAAACATTATTATTTTTTTAGTCTTATATTGACGAGGTTAGTAAATAATTAAAAATACCTCACAATTTATACAAAAACATTTTAAAAGTTTAGATAGAAAACAAAACTCATAATCTATTTACTTGTAAGCCCGAAGTTTTTTAGTTTCCTTCTCTCGATACAAAATAAATTAGTTATTCCGTGTTTCTAAAGTATTGAGTTTGAAGTGTTTTTCTAAATATAATTTTATCGATGTCTTACGTGTGAAAACAAAATTTTTTTTTATATGAAGTGAGGGCACATTTTTTGGCGTTGCCCTAGGCCTCAAAGATCTCTGGACCAGCCCTGCAAGGAAAGCCATGAAAGGGATACCCGCTGGGGTTGAGGAATTGGAAAGGCCATAGAGGAAAATTGGAAGAACCATCAGCAGATGGAAGGGGAGAAGAAAGAAAAAACAAAAAACAAAAAACCACCCACCGATCCCAGCCACAACTAGGATCGGCGACACCAAATGAAAACACGATCGGGAAATCACTCACACTAGATGGTGAGAAGCACCCTCAAACAGAGGGAAGGACTCTCACAGGGAGAGAAAAGAGGAAAGTATTCTTACTACACTTTCCTTTGGCAGGTATTGTTTGGCCCGGAGTGCGGTGCGTCATTTTGGATGATGAACCCATGTTTGAAGATGAGCTGAACGATAATCTAATCTAAGAAGGAAAACGCCTAGAACTAGAAAATAAGCGATTTCAATCGTTGTACAACATCAATAAGAATAGAAGGTAAATAAGAAAGAAATGGAAAATAAAAAAATGAGACAACTAATGAAAATGATTTGAAAACTTTGAGTTTTAACGATAAGGGAAAAATAAAAGATAAAGTAAATAGTATCATAATTGACTTCTTAGTATAAAAATATGATTGTTTGTTAGAATGTAGTATCAGGGCTTTTCGTTAAAATTCTCTAAAAAAATTTCATGTTTCACGTGTGGTATAAAGCGTAAACCAAACGGTAATGACGTATGTGCGGCACTAAGACATTCTCTAATCAAATCATAAACGAATTGTCCTAAAACCTTTTGGCTTAGGACAATAAACTGGATTAAACAATTAACTCAATCCACAATAGCCGTCCGATTTCAATCCCACTCTCAATTACTTTTCGAATCAACGGCCACCGTTGTCCCTCTCTTTTTCTCTCTCCTCACTCAGAGAGAGAGAGAGGGGCGGAAAAGAAAAGAACCTTCTTTTCACAGAAGAGGGGGTTGGAATCCCACCAATCCATCTTCTCCCTCCTTCGCTCCCTCCTTTTTCTTCCACTTTCTGAAATTTTCCCGGAAAATAATAGGGAAAAGGGAAGGTCCGAGAGAAACCCAGCAGCTCCGAGCAATCGGTTCTTCGATTTGTGGGTTCGCTTCTGGATTTTGATTAGTGGGTTTTGGATAATTTTCCTTTTTTGCAATTGGGTTTGGTGAAAAATTCGATCTTTTGGGGGTGGTCGAGGGGGAGAGCGATGGACTTGGAAAGCATCGAGTGTGTGTCGTCCTCAGATGGACTCGATGAGGACGAGATCCATCCCCACCACAACACTCTGCACCCGCATCCTCATCCTCATCAGCACCACCATGAATTTTCCAAGCCCAGAAGCAATGTCACCACCAACGTCACCATCAACGGGCCCACCGCCATTGCTCCCGCCACCAGCGTCCACGAGCTGCTCGAATGCCCCGTCTGCACCAATTCCATGTACCCGCCAATCCATCAGGTCATTTTTCTCTCTATTTTTCCTGCATTTGGTTTTAATTTTATTGAATTGGGGTTTTGTTTGGGTATTGGTAATTTTGTTGCTTGCATTTCTGTTTATTGGGTGCAATGGAAACTTGGGTTTTTGAATGAATTGATTAATGTGACGTATTTGTGGTTCTCTTCTATTGGAAATTGGCCCTTTTGATTGGATTTGTGGAACTAGGCTTTGGGTAGAGTTTGGCTTTAGGATTTTGGATAGATGATATATGGTTCTACTGAAAGCCGACTGGGGTTTGATTGTATGAACGAGCGATGTTAACTAGATTACGGATCTTTCGGGTCCGCGGATGATTCAGATGGATGATCCAAGTGCTGCTGATTTAATATTTGGAGTCATGGAATGTTCTCACTAAGAATGTAAAAAGTTAGTCAACTGTGTCAAATACAAGCTCATGACTCTGCAAGAAGGGCATGTTCCGGGCACCGTTGAAACTTTCAATCACTTCTGGTTGTTCTTGTGAAAACTATAGTACATTAACTGTTGTTGCAGTCCAACGAAACACGGGTTCCTTACCGAGGATGTACAATTTACCATTTTAAGTAGCTGGAACTTTTCTTCCCAATACCTCCTTGGCATGCATATGCTTGTTTCCGTTGGTGTGAACCGTAGTTTTGCATTGCCGTGAGTGTGGTGCGTCGTGCAGAAAGTTTTCTTGTTATTGAAAGATGGATACTGATGGTTATTTATTGTAATTCTTATGAACTAATCTCCTTGTCTGTAATAAAATTTGCTTATCTGCAGTGCCACAATGGCCACACACTGTGTTCCACTTGTAAATCGAGGGTACACAATCGCTGCCCCACTTGTAGACAGGAGCTTGGAGATATTAGGTGTTTAGCGCTGGAGAAGGTGGCCGAGTCACTTGAGTTACCCTGCAAGTATTACGCCTTGGGATGCCCAGAGATATTCCCGTACTACAGCAAACTAAAGCATGAATCGGTGTGCAACTTCAGACCGTACAATTGCCCTTATGCTGGATCGGAGTGCTCTGTTGTCGGAGACATCCCTTTCCTGGTTGCCCATCTAAGGGATGATCACAAGGTGGACATGCACACAGGATACACATTCAACCATCGTTATGTGAAGTCAAATCCGCGGGAAGTAGAGAACGCCACATGGATGCTAACAGTAAGTGGCATGGAATTTAACTATAATGCAAATTTCTGTGGTTTGTTTATTGTTTGTCCCTCTTAACGCCTTCGGCGATGATTACTGCTCTATTGAGAATGGGTCGGAAGATTGTTATTTTGGTTGAAGAACAATCAAGTTGAAATTGCTCCTAATGTTAAGGGTTGCATGCGGTTGATCGCGTTTTCTGTTTTCTGCAAGCTAGGCTTCATTCTCAATGTACTTACCCTGAATTGTCTTCTTTTCCTGTCAGGTCTTCCATTGTTTTGGTCAATACTTCTGCCTTCATTTTGAAGCCTTCCAGCTCGGCATGGCTCCTGTTTATATGGCATTCCTACGTTTTATGGGTGACGAGAATGAGGCCCGGAACTACAGCTACAGCTTAGAGGTTGGAGCGAATGGCAGGAAACTCATATGGGAGGGGACACCACGAAGTGTCCGTGATAGCCACCGAAAGGTCAGGGATAGCCACGATGGTCTCATTATCCAACGAAACATGGCTCTGTTCTTCTCCGGAGGCGACAGGAAGGAGCTGAAGCTGAGAGTTACCGGGAGGATATGGAAGGAACAGCAAAATCAAGATTCTGGGGTGTGCATACCAAACCTGTGTAGCTAAGACAAATGATTTTGAAAGTTTTAATGTTTGTTACTTGAGACACTCGTGTGTTGTTGTACCTGTGCCAGCTTCTTCCTGGTACGTTGTTGTAACGAACCCGGTTTCTTGAGTTTGGGAAGTTTTCAGCTTTAATAAAATTGTATAATAAGCAGGCGTTTTCTTCATTTTCAATTTGCTTGGTAACAATACAACTCGCATGCTTTTGAATCAAGACAATTCCAATAAGCCTCAATCCCATAAACCCACTAATTCCAACTGAGAAAAACGTTCTATCACAAATTTTCACCAGTTACCTAAATTCAAACCGATACCTGCTCAGTTGCACCGTCACTTTTGGACTCTATCTCAGCTGAACCTTGGCCTTCTTCTCCGCTACGTTCCTCCTGACCAGTCTCTGCAGCTTCACTCGCTGAGGCAGCTTCACTTGCATTTTCAGTGGCCTCCGTAGAGCCTGCCTCGGGTTCCTTATTGCCGAACAACTTGGATGGAAGTAAGGAGGAGACAGCAGCTCTTGCACTTCTCTTTGCTGCTTCTGCTGCCTCGAGCTCCTTAGCCTTAGCTTCAGCTTTCTGCCTTTCTTTCTCCTCCATAAGCTTCCCCACTTCGTCCTCTCTCCCTTCCTTTCTCAGCAACCCTTTAACAAACTCCTGCACCTCCTCATCGAATTCAACCCCATCGTCATCCAGCATTGTATCTACCACATTAAGAACCTCATCAAGTTTCCCGGCATCACTCAACGTCTTCATTATAAACTGATAGCTCGGAATATCCATCTTGAGCTTCTTCACCATCAAATCAAAAAACGATTTTGCCTCGTCAATTTTTCCTACCTTAACCAATCCATCAGCCAACTTATTATAAACTGCCAAGTTCGGCCTCAGCTTGGCATCAACCATTTTTCTGAAGTACTCAGCTGCATCATCGGGCCTATTCTCCTCGAAACAAATATCCATCAACAAAACGTATGTAAACTCATCCGGATTCACTCCCTTGTCGGGCATTTCTCCATAAAGCTCCTCAGCTTCACTCAGCATCCCATTCTTACACAATTGCTCAATCAAATTATTGAATGACAATGCATCCGGACTACACCTATAGTCTCCCATCTTCCTGAAAACCTCAATGGCATCCTTAAACCTCCCCTCTGCGCAATACCCGTTTGCCATCACATTAAAGCTTCCCAAATTCACAGCCAAACGCCTCGGCGGGTTATGCTCCTGGATCATCCTATCAAACAATCTCAATGCCTCATCAAACTTGCCATTCTTGCTCAAGGCATCCAAAACCGAATTATAAGCCACGGCGCTCATCTTCACCTTGGAACTCTCTCCCACAGCCTCCTCATAACAATCCATGGCCTCCTTCTCCATCTCCCTCATGAAAAACCCCTTCATCAAGTTCCCATACACAACCCCATCTTCCACAGCCCCTCCCAGCTTCTCCTTCAACTCCTCATAAAGCTTGAAAACCCCATCCGAATCCGAATTCTTCACACATCCCTGCATCAAGTAATGGTAAACAACCGGGTCCGGTGCGAAACCCTTGACACCAATTTCCTCCTTGAGCTCCATAGCCCTGTCCAATTTGTTGTTATCCACCAACCCCTTGATCAAAATCCGATAAGTAGTGGGGGAAGGGTTGAAGGGGGCGTCATTGATCAGCTGCTTGTAGTGTTCCATGGCGGTATCGGGCTTGCGACAATCCATATAAGTCTGGAAGATGAGATTGTGAGTGATGATATTGGGGGCAACGCCGGCCTGAGTGATGAAGCGGTGGAGGGTGAGGAGGTCGGAGTACTTGGACTGGCGGAGCTGAGCGGTGAGCACGGCGTTGACGGTGAAAATGGTGGGTCGGCAGTTGGAGTAGATGGAGTGGCGGGTGTAGAGAGCGGCCTCCTCGAGATCATTCTGGCGGACGAGGGTGAGAATGCGGTTGTGGAGGTTGAGGCGGTTGCCGGAGAGGGCCGAAACGGGTTCGGGAAGCTTGGGGGCGTTAGGGTTTATTTGGGGTTTTGGGGACTGTTGCTGTTGTTGCTGCTGGTTGCGGTGGAGGGAGGAAAGAGGGGGTTCGAGGCGGAGGCGGCGCTTGCGCTGGCGTCGTTCCGCGGCGGCTTCTTCGGGGGTGGCGAAGGAGAGAAAACGGAGGGAGATGAAAGAGGGTGGCGCTAAACGGCGGCGAATTGTGGGCTTTGCTAGGGTTTTGAGGTGGGTAAGGAAGGTGGGTTTGGAGAGAGCCATTGATTTGGTTCAGAGTGTCAGAGATTTGGGGTTCTGAGAGGGGTTTAGAAAATCTGATTTGGAAGAAGGGATTTCACTGAATTTTGATAAACTGGATTTTGTGGTAAAAGTTGGGCCTTCAACTTAGAGTTTGACATAGGCCCATTATGTTCTATGCTCTCATTTTTTATTCATTTAACCTCCACCGCTAACAAGTTAGTAAGTTCTCTGTCAAATCAAATAGTATGTCAATACGACTTTAATCATTCTTTTTTAATTACTCCAACATATTCAGATAATTTGCCCGAATTTTAGGTCATAACTGAAAGATGATGATTGTTGTTAGATCCCACATCGTCCAAGAGAGTGGATCATCTATGCCTTATATGTACATGCCCACCTTCATATAGCGCGAGACCTTTTGGGAGCTCACTGGCTTCAGAGTTCATCGGAACTCCGAAGTTAAGCGAGTTCGGGCGAGAGCATTCCCAGGATGGATGATCCACTGGGAAGTTCTCGTGTGAGTTTTTAGAAACAAAACCGTGAAGGCATGGTCGGGGCCCAAAGCGGATAATATCGTGCTACGGCGGAGTCATGCCCGAGATGTGGTGGAGCTCGGATCAGGATGTGACAATTGTAACTAGGTGATTGGAAGTGGAGGATTAATTATAGATTGGCATGGTAACTGGATCATTGGTTTATTGATAAAAAAGAAGTTGGAGAAGTTTTCATGTTGAGCTTTGGGCTTTGTTTTACGGGTTGAGATAGCTAAAGCTAGAAATTTCTCATCTTATTATGGAGGCTGATTCTACTTTGGTGGTCTTTCTCATTTATGGTTCTCCTAGCTGTAATCATCCTTTCTATGGTCTTGTCTCAGAGTGCAGAAGTTTGATCAAAGAGAACTAGAGTTGCAATGTGCTAATTTTGCATCTTATGGGTTAGTCAAGTTGGGTTTAAATAGAGAGATGGATTTCTGACGTACATTTTGTTTTGTGACACACTAATGAAAATTTAAGTAGGTTACACATTAAGATTAGCTATATCGAGCCCAATTTCATTCAAATATCGTTATTAAGAGAACAACTTATGCAGACGAGTCTCACCATAACACCCCCCCCCCCCCAACTCCTGGTGGGGGTCATGATTTTGTATAAAAGTGACCACCTTTCATTCATAGGAAAAAGTAACTTACATAAAACAAATTCATCCGTTTTAACTATTTAGCTTGCTTGTTTTTGTTTTCTTGCACCTCTGGGCTCTATAAATTACTCCTTTCTAACCAACTTCTATGGAAATGGAATGCCTAGCTAGCTAACGTGCACTCAATTGTAAGAAAAATTTTATTAGTCACATCTCCTTCAACAAGACTTTGTGTGCGTTGCAATTTTGTTAATAGAGGTGACTCGATCAATGAATGACTTCACATAAAACTTTCGGGCACGCAACATTAGCACATTTGTTGACACACTTTCTAATAGAGCTGAGCTGTATTATTATGCGCGAGTTGATAGGCTAAGCCCGCCAAATCAAATTCCAAAGAGTTCTCTCATCACATCCAATCCATTATCAGTTGATGCTTATATTCAGTTTGAATCATTCAAAGACTTTAGGGGTTTGAATTTTTGAATTTATGTGTTATTTTTTAGAAGAGTTTGATCTTATTTCAAACTCACTCTTGTAAACCATATATAATTGACGTGAAATACGCAGAAAGCTAAATTATCTAGCCAAACTACAATCAAAGTTTCTTATACAAGTATCAAAAGTCAAAAATGTATTAACAAATGCATATACTGTTAGTTGTTGTGTGTCCAAATAACATACCCATAACTTAACGCAACTATCGCAAATACGGTAAGCAAAAGAGATTTTGCATTTATCAAATGGAAATTTCATTAACAATTTAAGCCGAAATGGTTTAGGACGGTGCTATTCACAGACTCATTTACTATCCACATGCTTCTCTCAATTTTTCGTCCGTCAGATTGAATGAATTGAATAACATAAATAACATAAGGTATATAGGAAGTAAAAAAAAATGTGTGGATATCACTATCCAAAATTAATACATACTTCAAGAAGTGACTTGATGAATGAAATAAATTAAACGTGTGGTTGTTGACAAGTATGTGGCGGACGTGTGTTTATGCTAATAGGGATTAGTAAGTTTAATTATATGTTAATCCCATTGATGTTGTTCCTCATTGAAGGGTGTGTGTGTGAATTGTCAACCGTGAATTAGGCATGTTTTTGTACTCATATTATTATATTAATCTGTGTTGATCTTTTTCTGTCTATTTCTATTAGTTGGAAAACGATCTTCGTCGGATCCTTTTTCTGAGAATTTCGTAAGCGTATTCGTAATTGTAATCGTAATTATTCATCATATATCGTGTGGTCAGAAATCATTTTTCATTTTTCATTTAAAATTAAATATAAATAGTACCTAACGAAAACTGACTGCACAATATACGATTAACAGTTATGATCACGAGATCCCTAGGAAAAGGATCCGGCGAGGATCCCTTTCCCTACTGACTTCACAAGTGCTGCACGCGCGAGAGACATTTTTTTCATTCACGCATTTATCTACACTGGACAATTTATGTTATACCGTTTTGTGCACCCCCTTCGTAATGTATTTTAACAGTTCAAATCGTCTATCTTTTAGAACATTATTCATAGATCATCATTGCAAAAAATTAGACAAGTCCAAAACCATTAAGACATTCATCTATAAAGAAAATAGACAAATACGGTTCTCCAAAGAAGCCATAATCCTTCAATCCAACGGTCATATGGTTTCAGATTGGGGTGATTTTTAGTAAATATGATTTTTAAAAGAATACCTAAAAGATAGAAAGTTAGGATCATTAAACTACATTATGAAGTGAGCTCTACAAAAAAAAAAAAAAAAAAAAACAAAACAAAACGTGTCAAAAGTTAAGTAATAACCAACAGGATCCTTTCGGGATCTTTTTGGTGAGGATCCTGGAGATCCATAAATCGTGTTCGTTTATCGTAGCGGTCAATTGTTGTCAGGTAATGTTTGTATTTAAAATAATTTTTTATTACACGATATACGATAAACGGATATAATTCACAGATCTCCAGATCCTCACAAAAAGGATCCGGCAAGAATCCAGATTCATGTAATAATGTTGATAGCTAAATGAACGTGACCCATATCTGCAACACCAATGTTTTTTTGTTTTTCTTATTTGGATTTTGGAGCAATATAGCTTAATGAATGTGACTCGTATCTAGAAGACGAGTGGTTTTATTTTTTATTAAGCTAGATGATAGTTGTTTTATTGATATTTAAGCGTGACAATCTTTAATAATACATCACAAATAGTATCCGGAGGACGATTAAGCAAAAGAAAACTCTCAGCATGTTTTCAAGTAGATTAGCTATTAATCAATCATTATGACTCCTTTTTTTTTCGACAGTGAAAGGTCTCAATGTTGTTAGATTTTCCCTCTCAACACAATCTTGTTTTGAAAAACCAGTAAAAATTATCAACAATTGACTAATTATTATTATAAACACAGCTTGTGGCCTTGAAATAAAAAACATATAATTTCAATAGTACGAGGCTACGAGCTCCTGTACATATACACATACATATTTTGACGGTAGCATATTGACTAAAGTCATGGAGAGGGGACGCTACTTCATTTCAAATCCAGGATATATTACAAGTTTCTTTGAGAATTTACAGAGAGATCTTAACTTTTTATTTTTTATTTTTACAGATCGCCTACTAAAAAAATTATAGACAATAAGACTCAAATCTATGTCTTGTCTAGTAAAAAGAACGATTATTATTAACTCAATCGATAGTCATTGGCTCACAATTACCAGGTTTCGATTAGATCATTTGATACCATTTACACTCCAATGTAGTCGCTTTCTTCCTAATTTTTTTAAAATTACTTATTAATTGATAAGAATGTAAAAACTACAGTTCAAATTACCAAAAAATGGAGAATATTATTGAGCTCAGACAGTGGGCCAAGAAATTTTTTTTTTCTTTCTTCTGAAAAATTGTCAATAAATAATTGTGTGACAGGCTGTTTTGTCAACAAATTATAAACTTTTCTTTTGGTCGGCAAATTGCGATCACGAACACCATGTAGAACGAACACCATTTCTACATGGTGTTCTTTCACGTGTACTGTCGCCATTGCCTAGTCCATAAGTTCTGTGTAACTTTAGGGTGCTTTCTTGCCTTTCAAATGTCATTCAAGCTCACTGTTGGATATAACTGGAATATTTTATGGATTTTTTTCTTCTTCAATGGCGGATAAGGTATTACGTCTTCCTCTGCTGTTGGCTGTGAAGGATGACAAGTTTATATGGAATAGATTCACTGTCACCGTCATATTTTATTTAAATAAAACATAACATGTGTAAGTTTTTAACACATATCATTGATTAATTATAATTATACAATGTGTAATGGTAAACACATTTCATATCAATTGGTCTCATGAGAAGAATAAAGATTATAAATAATGATGCAATGTCATGATACAAAACGTGCAAAAATGAAAGGTACTGATACAAAAAGTACCATCAAATAATTGGTAGGGTGTACAAATTGACCCATATTATTACAATTATTAGATCATCTCTAATGGTGACCTAAAACTTAAAAATATTTAGCCCAGAAAATTTAGGTTTTAGCCCAGAAACAGTTTTTCTACTCCAACCATTCTGGCCTAAAATTTTAGCCCCAGATTATCAAAGAATGAATTAAGGCTAATTTTTTTTTAAATTAACTTTTTAAAAAAAAATAAAATTATGTAGACTATCTTAAATTAATTTTATGAACATTTTAACCTAAAAATATTTAAATTCCGATAAATTTTGAAAAATCACTAAATCAATACATGAAAATCATGATAAACCACATAAACTTAAAAAAAAAAAAAAAAAAAAAAGAAAGAAAAAGAAGACAATTAATAAACCACATAAACTTAATACAATCGAAAACTCATAGACTATATAAATTTAATAATGATATCCA